GAATTCAGACGTTTGCGGGCCAATTACTACCGAGCAACTCCCAATGACGGTTGCACGGCTTGTCGCCCGTTTTATTTACAATTATCGATAATTAAGTACGTGCACGAATCGATCTGTCGCTCATTCCCTCTCTCTCTCTCTCTGTTTTTCGATTTATCGATGTCAAATGGTGGTTTTCGTGAAATCCCGTCCCCATTTCTTTTTCTCCGTTTCATTCCGCGTGCTCGTATGCTCTCTTTCCCTAGGCTCTCTTTCTTGCCGGCCGATACTCTAATCGGCCGACCGATTAATTATCAGCCGGAGCCGAGAGCGAACGGCGGTGAATAGCCGCCTCGCGGTTTAATCGTATGCACGGCATTCGAAAGTCACGTCCCGCCAGCGCTCGGAGATTTTGTTTAAGCAACTGGAAATGGAAAGCTTGCGTTCTTCCCTTTCCTCCGCCGGACGGAGATTTTTCTGATTTTTTTTTTTTTTTTCTTCTTTTCTTCTACGACGTTTTATCAGAGGTGGCGTGAATTCGGTTCGAGAAACGAAAGGGACGAAGTCTCGTTTTTTTTCTTTCCTTTTCTTTTTTTTTTTTTAATAATGTTTGCTCGTGAACTTCTCTCTACTCTCACAGTTTCGTAGTTCCAGAACCGGTAGAAAAATTGCGAGTAAGAGGACTGATAAAAGCTGTTACGCGATCTGTCGAGTTTGGCAAGCATGGAAATTGAATGCATAGCTTTCCAGTTGTACGAACGAAGAACGTTTGCGTGACAACGAGTCTGACAAACTCTGCTTTTTATTGAAAATAAATTTCAACGATTTCCGGAGACGCATTCGAAAATGAACGAATCTGTGATTAATTAAGAAAGCTTTGCGTTTAAATTGGCCACGCTTAGTCATCTTTCGAATATCTCGCGAAACCGGAGTTCGGTAATTTTCCAATTGACGATCGAAGCGAACGAACTGGAATAAAATTCGAATGAAAAGTACAGTTCTCTTTTTATTCGAGCCTAATCCGCGAGTAAAAGTTAACCTTTAAATTGAATTAAAAGTTTCTCATTAATTCATCAAACCTGATTATCATTTCAATATCTAGCCGTTGAACACGAAAAATTCTCGAAAGACGCGAAATCTTCATCATACAAGGAATAATTATAATATAATGGGAGGGAGAGCTGCCCTGAAATCAATATTTGAAATCAATATTTGAAATTCAAGTAGTTTCGCGTGAACGTGTCCGACAAGCACGTGACGTTTATGTTGGGAGTTTGACATGATATGATGCGACGTGACGTGACGTTATATATATATATAT